TGACTGATACGACTGAGGTGTGTTTGGTGGGAATGGAACTTGTTGCTGCATTGCCCGAGCAGCCGACTGGTGCGTGGTAGTCGGCGACATGGGTGGTGATGCGATGGACTGCTTAGGATTTCTGGGTAACGGCGATCCGAGTGGCCTGTCCGTGGGTCGGGGGCTGGAAGGTAGACCTGGACTCATGAGTGGGGATGCGACGCTCCGGTTAGCCATCATAGAACTGTCGGAGTTTGCAGGACTAAGAAGAGCATTCAGAGAGTTGGCTGGCGGGTGACGGGGAGAGAGTGGAAGGCCCGATTGCAGCGCATTGAACTGACGCGGCGAAAGGGGAACCGGGACCGCCTGAGGCTGATCGCCTGCTGGTGTTTCAGAAGGCGTCGCTTGTTTGCTCTTGCTTTCGCTTTTCTTCTTCTTCGACTTGCTTCGAGCTTCCTCATCTTTCGAATACATGGCCTCACGGACCCTGTCATCTTCCTCTCGAGTCTTTCTCCTTCCTCGCAGCTCCACGACAGGTATCTCATCCACCTCCAGTATATCGTCGTAATCAGAGTCGACATCGTCGCCATGCACGGCCCGATGGAGATGTGCGCTGGTCGTTGTGGGTTTCGACAGGTTGAGTGGAGCTGGCGGTGCCTTTCGCAGAGGCTGCGGAGTCTTTCTTGGGGGTGATTCAAAGCCATCGCCGCCGACGACAGGCGTAGCTTGGATCAGCGATATCTGCGGAGGCTGGAGCTGTGAGCTGCCCGGGACGAGCGTCACGTCTGAGGTGTTCTGGGGAGGAGTGGCTGGCTTCGGAGCTTGCGCTGGGGGCTGAGCAGCATCGCCGGGCTGCAGCAATGTAGAGTCGAGGCCGAGGCCCCTGCTACCAAGGCTAAGGGGTTGCACGGAGTAGTCTGTAGGTGAGTTTACGGCTGACGAGATGTTGGATGCCGTGGAATGAGACGGCGACGTCGCTAGCTGTGAGTCTGGGATGAGATGCGGTGCGGGGTGCTCTTGCGTCAGGGGCGATGTCTTGTGCTCGGTGGCCTTGGTGTCGCTGGGCCGAGCGGCGTCACCAGGTTGCTCACCGAGGGCTGGCGACTGGCTGGTCTCGCGTTCCACGACCGAGTCGAACGTGTCGGACTTTTGCAGCGAGCCGGGGCCGGGTGGCAGCTGCTCAGCGTACTCCTTGAACTTTCTGCGGTAGCGGTCCTTGTCCTTCAGTGCGCGCTCGAGGTCTTTCTGGAGCCCGATGATCATGGACCGCTGCTTCTCCACCAGCCGCCAGAGCTGCGCGTTGTGGCTGGACGTGTTCTGCTTGTCCTTCCACAGGGCCAGCATGGCGGCCTCGGGTGAGCCTGCAGCGGCCATCAGACTGGCCATGTCTGGGGGGTTGGCGGTGCTCGTGTCCTGCGACGGCCGGGGCGCATGGCTGGCGGGCGGGCGGTTCTGCGAGGCCGTCGACGACAGCGAGGATGCGGCCGAGTCTATCGAGGGGTTGCGGACTGGCACCGTCGGCCTCGTGTCTGGCCGGTTCGGGCGTGATGGTGGAGGCATGGTGACGGGCGAGGCTGGCGGGGAAATGCCAGCCGAAGACAGCGTGGGAGACGACAGCTGGCGGAGTCTGGCATACGCAGACGGCCGCGACGGCTGCGCGAAGCTCGGGGTGGGGACGGTGGGTGGTGTAGGCGGGTGCGCTGGCTGGGTTGGGCGAATGGGCGAGGTATGCTGTTGCTCCTCCGCCAGCAATGCGTCGAGCTTCTCGCGCGGACTGCGCGGTTCGTCGAGGCGTGGTGAGTCGCGGTAGCCCGGCTGCTGGCACGGGGGGCCGCTCTTACCAGTCGAATATAGCGGGCTTGGGACGGGTTTGCGACGTGCTCGGGGCGGGTGTTGCTCGTCCGCCGTGGCCGGCACGTTGTGCGAGCGCGTCGAGTCGTCGCGAAGGCTGTGAATACTGTCCGCGAGCGACGGCGCGGAGAGAGAATGCAAGGGCGACGGCGGCTGGTGCTGAGGGATGTGATGTGCCGCCGTCCTTTCCTGGAGCATGTGCATGTCTGTATTCATCGCCGCCATGTCCAAGGCTCAAACGGGCTAGCGGACGACCGGGATATCTGGTCGACGGTATAGCAGACGGCCAGTGGGGATTAGTGTTTCGGCGACGCTCTGAGTGTCTGGTGAATCCAAAGCTGCCACGCTCAGCAGTCTCGTCAGCATCTGGCGTCCCGCGCAGCTTGAGACAAGTCTCCGTCAGAAGGAGCAGCCGGAACAGAAGAGATTTGGGCTTGTCGCCTGCCGGCTTCTCATTCGGCGCCATAACCGCCCTTGTAGGAGCCGGGCCAAAGTCAAGCCTGGTTCCTGCAGCAGAAGCGAGCCCTGTAGGCCGTCGTCTCCATCATCGCCTCCGCACGCCTTGATGGCTGCGTCCCCTCACGTTTTAGATATGCCCAAACCCGTCTGCATCCCCGTCGACCACCTGCCCGCGTAGGCGCCAGAAAGCTACTTTGGCTTTTCCATTGGCGCACACCTGTGGCTTGCTAGCCGTAATCAACTACGAGCCACCATCCACCGCCCCTCTTGTGCAGAAAGAGATGTGCGCGTGGTCTGCTGTCGCTGGTGCCCGCAGGCAAGCTGACAACAGCCTGACAAGCCAAAAGGTGCGAAATGCCCACCTATTGGCTACAGCCCAGATGATTTGGCATGCGAGTCCAGAGAGTGTATTGATTCGGCGGCGCGATAATCTGCGACTCATGGCAGACTCGAGAGCAACTCCGCCAGCCGTCTGGCCGTCGATTGGATGGTCGTGGTAATAATGTCTCTTGCGCACGGAGGCGTTCGAGTTGAAGGGCTGCTGGGTCGCTGCAGCACGAAGGATTTGCCAGGCCGAATCGGGGCTAGATCCGTCGATCACTTGGCACTCGTAGATGCAGCAGCTCCGAACTCTCAGAGACAACCACCGCATGCCGTCCATCACCATGAGTGCCCAACCATCCGCTCTGCCCCGCGGCTGAATGCTCGAGTATGCTGACGGCGGATACATGCCGCTTGGAACGCATATCAGAATCATACGATTCCTACCGACCTGCGATTACATCTGAAACTCATCCGCCGTCAAGCGAAGTGTACTGCAGGGAGCCGCTGATAGTTCCACGACTAGACCGTAACCGTCGCCACATGGTGATCACGAGCTGCACCTAGGCTGCGCAACGAACCCAAGGCCCAGACTAATAATTCCTCTTTGCAATGCTCTGTCAGGGGTAATTTGGATGATTGAGGCCGAGAAACGTCTTTTGTTTTTTCTGTCTCTGCGCTAGTACCCACCGCAAGCCGTGGAAATGAGATGCGACATTGCAGCGGACATCATCACTCGGGCGAGTAAAGATGCGGCATGAACAGCCTCCTTGATGGTCCAGCACCCACATCCTTCGACCGCACACATTCCCTCCACAGATGCAGGGTGAACCTGAGGCAGACGCTACCCCAAAGACATGGCAAGCATAACTCGGAACAGTTGTTTCCATGCGAGTTGGGTCAAGCCGCAAGCCTCTCTCACGTCTAATTATACATCGCATATCCAGCTCCGAGGGGCAACACCGAAGTATTATGATCTTCGTGATTGCAAATACGAGCTTTGCTGCGTTGAACAGGACAAATCACCAACGTCTAAATTGACAAGACTGCATCAACAGGAGCGCGGACATTACATCTCTGGTAATATGCGGAACTTACGGTGAAAGGAAAGCTATCCTCATTTGCAAATGGTAGTCTTCCATCAATGCATGCGCATACCTGTGAGAGCTCCGTCCGGAATGTAAGCTCCCGTTGGACCGCTAACCGCCGCCTGGACCTACAGTTCCTGCCATCAAATGTGGAGGAAGTATAGATCGGAGAGTGAAGTGGCGCCAAGATGGAGGCCAATAACGCCTCATCGGAACCTTGTGATGGTTTGCGCCATGGGACAGCTACTGCGTGGGTAAACCCAGTATGGAGCCCCTTGCTCAATGAACAAACGCCTACCATTATGCCCTCAAAACGTTCCACTTCCCATTCGCTACATCTGCGTACATCCACAGGTATGTTGCTTTGGAAATTACGAGGAAAGCGATGCAGGCAGATACAGTGAGAACATGGACGGGTTCTGCCTGTCCAAGAAGAAGAAACCGCATGGTGTAGCGTTCGAGGCTAATTCACGGGAGGCAATGCGTACCGAGCGAACGCAAAGTCAAAGCCAATTTCTGAGCAGGGAACAATGTGGACGCTTGAATAACTTTCGAAAATAGCTATCATGGAAGATAATATCGTCATTGTTGCCTCGGCGTTTGCAAACCACTTGCTTCATAACGTACTGTTCGAAACAGTGAGCAGCCGTCAATCAGCATTACGAAACCGTGTGTTGAGTGGCATACTGTCCATTGAACTCGAGTCCCGAGTTGTCAAGCGAATTCGCGAGCATTTTCACATTCCCCACAGCTTTTGATCCATGTCAGGATGACCGGACCCAAAACAGACATGTGCTTCAATATTCAGATTGTTAATTCCCATAGCTACAAGATACCTGGCTGTCACCAAGCAGCTGCTAATCTGTTATACAAAATCTTAGGTGTAATTTATCTATCGATCCTGACATCCTTCACACTGACCTTGACAGCTTCGTATCCGATGCTGGGCAACTGGGGTAGCGATCAGTTCGACTTGTCAACTTCCAAATGAGTTGCACTAATGGACTTCATCTGCAAAGAAGAGTTTGAGGCCGAGTGAAGGTCTGCACAACTACACTGTCTCTGAATCACAGATCGCGTTTTCGATGCAGAGACAGTGAGACAAGGCTCCGCATTGCTGGACTCCGTTGTAACACTGTCGAAGCATCGGCTCACCTCCAATGGAGATACTAAGAAAAAGCGTCTGATATACTCAATGTAGTTGTGTCGTTAATCCATGTTTTCCTTCTAATGGCGTCTTGTAGACACGGGTCTGTGCCCGCGCACCATACAGTATAATACACTCGTAGGCTTTCGTACTCCTTACAGCCCCACTCTTCCACTACCGCCTCGCTCCATCTTGTTCAACCGTCGCGCAGTAGCAATCTGCGATTGTTAGCCCATTGACCGACCAAGACCACAGCCACTCTCCTAGGGCCAAACCTACCTGTGTCCTTGTCTTCTGGCCCCTCACGGGCAAGCCCATAGCGTGTCTCCTTCCACGATATGTGCCCATATCCCTCAATCTCCGGATGTCGTCCTGCACTTGCCGCCGTAAATCGTTCTCAATCTTCATGTTGGCCAGTTCCGCGGTCAGATCCATGACGGTGGCGTTTTTCAAGCTGCCGACCTTCGCCCACGGGTGGATATAGAATTTCGCCATAATGCGCTGCGAGACCGAGGGCCCGATGCCAAAGAAAGATTCGAGGGATCGCTTCACGAGCGTCGCTTCCGTGAAGCTGAAGCCGTTGATGAACACCTAAACCGTCAGTAAGACGCGCGCAAGGGGAAATGGGCGTTCCAGTCGCGTACCATGGCGGGTCAGCGTTCCGACGGCGAGTTCGCGTGTTGATGTGTCAATTGTCGTGTCTGATCTCGAACTCCAGACTTCCGTTTCCCGCTAGACCCAGCCGGCGCTAGTGCGACAGTGCGGGCAATGGCTCTACCTAGGTAAAACGCAACGTTTCAACACCTCCTCCACCATCGCATTCCGCAGGGGGCTGTCCAAACTACTTAACCTTGCGACTTCCCTCGATTGTTTCCCGACACAATCAGGCACCATGGCTACCATCCAGAGAGCTGTCATTTCGCTCCTCTTGATCCTCTCGATCACTTTCGTCTTCTTTGCTCAGAGCACCGAGGCTGCAAAGGGTCCAAAGATCACTCACAAGGTGTGTATAGCTTTCAATCGGATGAATAGACGGACTTGCTGACTATATTCAGGTCTACTTCGACGTTACCCACGGCGATGAAGAGCTAGGCCGCATCACCATCGGTCTCTACGGCAAGACCGTCCCCAAGACCGCTGAGAACTTCCGGTACGAACGGATACAAGTCTACGCATAGCTCGGGGGGCTAACATAGACTACAGCGCTCTCGCTACTGGCGAGAAGGGATTCGGTTACGAAGGCTCTACTTTCCACCGCGTTATCAACAACTTCATGATCCAGGGTGGTGGTAAGTCCGACTCATGCCCGGGTCTAGGATTCACAATGCTGATCAACGGCTAGACTTTACCAAAGGCGATGGTACAGGAGGTAAGAGCATATATGGAGAGAAGTTCCCCGACGAGAACTTCAAGCTCAAGCACACCCGCAAGGGTCTCCTCAGCATGGCCAATGCTGGCAAAGATACCAACGGTGAGTACCCTTCCCTTTCACTCCCTGCAGCATGCACTGACTATCCTAGGCTCTCAGTTCTTCATCACCACCGTCATCACCAGCTGGCTCGATGGCCGCCACGTCGTGTTCGGAGAGGTCCTCGAGGGCTACGAGGTCGTGGAGAAGATTGAGAACGTGAAGAAGGGTGCTGGAGACAAGCCGGTCCAGACTGTCAAGATCGCCAAGAGCGGAGAGCTCGAGGTGCCAGAGGAAGGTATTCACGCGGAACTCTAGACATCAGTACGCATTCTTTGCTATTGAGTCGACCCCTCAGGTTGGAGAGCTGCTGATAGTTGTACCTTTTTCTTCAAGATTTATACGGTCATGCTGAACCAGCCATTCCTGGCGACGAACTCGATATCACAGCGACTCCGTCTCACGACGATATCGTCAACATTGCTGAGGTATCCCAGGCCTCTTCCACCAAGGGCAAAATTCCTGGCCTGGCTGCTGCTGCTGGTTCTGCTGATGGTTTGTCGGTCGGTCAGAAGCTTTTCTTTATCGGGGCTGTCGTTGCGATTTGCGTGCTCTTCTTGAAAACGCGAAATGGAGGGCAAAGCAACATTATGGGTGGGCTCAAGGAGAAGAGCATGGCCTAGATTACGACGAAATGCAGAAACGTTCCTTTAGTAGAGCATTGATCTGATACATGGTGAACATGGCTCTCTAGTGTGTCAAGACGCTAGCTAGGGTAGAGGGGATACGATGTCCTTGCAGTCCCTGCATTACCCGCCGATGACGATGTGCAACGGCCAGGGCACGTCCAGGGTAAAAGCAAAGAAGACAAATGTTGGGTTATCTAAAGCCATGGCACAGTCGCACAGGATGGCCTGGAGCCTGCACAAGCACCTAGAAAGGCCGCCACTACATTCAACTGCGGCCATGTCACAGTGCATGTCGCATGAAAAGCAAGCCTGCTGCAGCACACGACAGCTTCCATCTGTGACGTTCACCGCTCCCCACTCGCCACAGCCTGAGAACTCTGAGAGGGAGCGCTAGCGCCAACGGGGACTAGTGCGGGAAGGGTTCTCCGACACGCTTTTTTAACTTACCTGCGGCCGTCTCCCTCTTCCCTAACCACCCACCCTCCAAAACTACTCTGTGTGTATTGCACAACCTTACAAGCTCTTTTCCCGTGAAGTCCTTTCTTTTGGTCTTCACTTCTTTACTTCTCGTTTTCAGGACAGAGGCGTTCCCTTCTTTCCTGACAGAACGAGTCTCAGGCACCCGCCTGCGAGTTACGAGTTTCGTCACTTAGACCTGCTACTTTTCGTCTGTCGCTCACCGCCGAGCCAGCCGAAGCCAGCACATCTGTAATTTGCGCCCTGCACATTGCACTCCCAAACACACCCTCAACCAACTCGATTCCACCACGCCCATCATGGCTGAACAACTCGACATGGGTCGTCTCAACATCAACGACTCCCAGCACAACCCCCAGAACGGCTTCAACGGCGAGCGTTCTGCCTACATCCCCCCTCACCTTCGCGGCCGTCCCCAGGGCGGTCCCGGAGGCCCTGCACCCATGGACGGCCCGCCCCCGATGATGAACGGCGGCGGTCTCGGCGGCAGCGCGTGGGGCCCCGGAGGGTCAGTCAACACCCAGGACACAAAACAGGAAGGTATGCTAACTGGTGACAGTCAGGGTCCTCCCCCTCAGATGAACGGCGGCGGCGGTGCCGGTGGCTGGGCCAACGCACCCAACTTCACTCCCCGCGGTCGCGACGGTCCCCCAGGCGGTGGATGGGGCGGTGCCCCTCGCGGTAACTTTGACCCCAACGCCTACGGCAAGCCCGGCGGCGGTGGCTCTGGAGGCGCCCGCGGGTCTGGCGACGGTGCCTGGAAGGACGGCAAGCACGTTCCCGGCCCGCCCAACCAGCGCCTCGAGCGCGACCTCTTCGGCATGCCCAACGACCCCTCCAAGCAACAGACCGGTATCAACTTCGAGAAGTACGATGACATCCCCGTCGAGGCCTCTGGTCAGGGTGTCCCCGAACCCGTCACACGTTTCACAAACCCGCCTCTCGATGACCACCTGCTGAGCAACATCGAGCTCTCCGGATACAAGGTTCCCACTCCTGTACAGAAGTACTCCATCCCCATCGTCATGGGTGGCCGTGATCTCATGGCTTGTGCCCAGACTGGTTCCGGAAAGACTGGTGGTTTCCTCTTCCCCATTCTCGCCCAGGCCTTCCAGAATGGCCCCTCTCCTCCTCCCGCACAGGCTCAGGGTGGATACGGACGTCAACGCAAGGCTTACCCCACTTCACTCGTCCTTGCTCCTACCCGTGAGTTGGTCTCCCAGATCTTCGACGAAGCCCGCAAGTTCGCATACCGCTCCTGGGTCCGTCCTTGCGTCGTCTACGGTGGTGCCGACATTGGCTCTCAGCTTCGCCAGATTGAGCGCGGCTGCGATCTTCTCGTTGCTACCCCCGGTCGTCTCGTTGACCTGATCGAGCGTGGCCGTATCTCCCTCGCTAGCATCAAGTACCTCGTTCTCGACGAGGCTGACCGCATGTTGGACATGGGTTTCGAGCCTCAGATTCGCCGTATCGTTGAGGGTGAGGATATGCCTCCTACCGCTGCCCGCCAGACACTCATGTTTTCGGCCACCTTCCCCCGCGATATCCAGATGCTCGCCCGCGACTTCTTGAAGGACTACATTTTCCTTTCGGTCGGTCGTGTCGGTTCCACTTCTGAGAACATCACCCAGAAGATTGAGTACGTCGAGGACGGCGACAAGCGCTCTGTTCTCCTTGATATTCTCCACACACACGGTGCTGGTCTCACCCTGATCTTCGTCGAGACGAAGCGGATGGCCGACTCGCTGTCCGACTTCCTCATCAACCAGGGCTTCCCCGCCACCTCCATTCACGGTGACCGCACTCAGCGCGAGCGTGAGAAGGCTCTGGAGATGTTCCGAACTGGACGTTGCCCAATTCTTGTCGCCACTGCTGTTGCAGCTCGAGGACTTGACATCCCGAACGTGGTACGTATCCCCCTACTCCTCACTTCCTGCTATTCACTGACGTTTTTCAGACGCATGTAGTCAACTATGACCTTCCTACCGACATTGACGATTATGTTCATCGAATCGGTCGTACTGGACGAGCTGGAAACACTGGTATTGCCACTGCTTTCTTCAACCGCGGCAATCGCGGAGTCGTACGCGATCTCCTTGACCTGTTGAAGGAGGCCAACCAAGAGGTCCCTAGCTTCCTCGAATCCATTGCTCGCGAGGGCTCCGGCTTCGGTGGAGGTCGTGGTGGCCGTGGAGGCGGCCGTGGCCGTGGCAACGCTGCTACCCGTGACGTTCGTCGCATGGGCGGTGGTGGTTTCGGTGGCGGTGGCGGTGGCCAGTGGGGAGGTGCTCCTCAAGGTGGCTACGGAGGTGGCTTCGGCGGTGCTCCCGGCGGTGGCTACGCTCCTCCAGCTCCCGGCGGCTACGGTGGTGGCGGCGGCGGCTTTGGTGGAGGCTACGGCAACCCATCCGGCCCTGGCGGCAACTCTTGGTGGTAAACGTGCAACGCACCGCTTCACGATATAGCCAGCCCGGGACACATTTTCTTCTCTACGATACCCTGGGCCTTCGTGTCGCCGCTACCGATGGCTTGCTTTCGATTTCCTTCACTTGCGAATGTTTTCTGCGAATCTTTCCCGGTTACCGCGGATCGATGCGGAAATCTGGAATCTCATACCCCAATCAGCATATAGACAGCGACTGTTTTTTTGCGGATCTGCCTGTTTTCGAGCTCTTCTCGCATACGATACCCTTCGACGCACTCTTGTCGAGCTCGAACATAGATGGCAGGACCCTCGTCTTTCTCGCAAAGGCATGCATTACGAACATTTCACGACTTCGCTCTTCTGCAAGCATGCTGCTTGGGGAGCTATAGATTCTCGCTTTCCGAGTCTTCCACACGCGGATGACCTCTGAGCATTTCCTTATCTTACGACAAAAGCGGTTCCTTTTTTCCCGGTCATACCCCTCGACGACAACGTCTTTCTCGTCGTCCTTGCGTCTCTCGGTCTCTCCACACGCGGAGAGTAGCAGCATGACCCTGTTTTGGACGACGGAAAAGTTTACTGCATAGATGGCGTTCATGAAGGTCTAGCCACGACCCAACCTTTGTACGAAGGAAGATACCCCCGGTT